GAATATATTGTAGTTTTATTCATGCATTAACTACATGAATCATTATCATATATATTACAATCAGCATGGAGAAAATATTATTTCAATTTAAACTGCAACAACAACTTTTCCTCTTTTATACTCTTTATTGGCACAGGACACAGCACCTAATACAACTCTTGTAAAAATCTTGGAAGAATGTATTTGGTATATGTAGAACCCTATTTCTGTTGTCTGTACAATCTTTTCTGTTTAAAAATAGACATCACAACCCTTTTTTTAAAACATGGATACCTAAAGTCATTTTCAAAATAAGAGCCATTTTTGCTTAAGGATGAAATGCATGATGATCAAAGCCAATACAATAATAATGAACTTCTACCTGCTAGTTGGGAAATGTGTTTGTATATACATATTGCTTTTAGAGCAGTACCCTTTGAGGTTTGACGAGAATGTGTGATATTGATACATTTTGCAACAGCTTATTACCTTACAACCTTCCACCTTTGTTCAGTTAGCATTGTAGAAAATAAAAATCTCTAATCCTCTTTTCAGTCACTCAGGCAGCTTACTATACTTGGATATACAAGTTAGCCATATATGTAACTTCAAAATTAATCTCATTAACTAAGACATTATGAATGGATACAAGGTATGTAATCTTGGTAAACTAAAGAACTTTTTTTTTTTCTCTTATGTTAATCAAATATATTCATAAGATTAATAAAGGAATGGAGAGGCTAGCTATGGTTTATTAGTTTAACTGGAATGTATAATAGTATCTTAATTAACTGCTAATCACAAAGAAAATGCTATAAGATTATAATGATACTGTTACACACAATGAAATGCAACCAAATCAGTAACTTGAGATTCGTAACCCAAAATTCAAAAAATAATAAAATAAAATAAAATAGATTAAAATTTATACAAAACAAATTGCTTTAAGAGAAAATATCATGGCTGGCTTCAAACCTTTCTAAATATGAGGAGGAAAAGATAACAAAAGAAAAATCAGTTATCTCACTAAATAATAATATTCTCAAGTTCCAATAACATTTTATATCAAACATCTAAAAAGTGCAAAGTAAACAAATTTTCCCTTTAAACAAGTCCAAAATACAAGGTTTACACATGTCTAATGTGTAATACAAGACCATCCTTGTGATCAGTTTTTAAAGAAAGAATAAATATATCTGAATATTAAGTACCTTTTTCTGAAAAAAATAGATCACCAATCTATCTTTTACTGAACATGACAGCAAAATCATGTAACAATAATATTCCCTTATTAATATTACTCAATTTAAATATCACAAACCATATCATCCCACACAGAAGTGGATGCTATATGAATAACTGAAATAAATATAGTACCAAAGTACTGCAGTATATCAACAAGATTGTTTTTTTTATATACATTTCACTTTTTTCCAGAAAATGTGGAGGGACCTTATAAAAACAAATATACATATATTGGTCCTAAATAATATAGAAAATAAGACTTCATGATCTCTATATATATTCTTTTTTTCTTGAAGAAAAAATACTCATGCACTCTCTTAGAGCCAATTTCTATATTTCTTTGGTCTATAGTAAATACTGTACTTTACAACCAGTGCATAAAGACAAATGTCTTGAGAATCTGTTTAGCAGTACAACAAAAGAATGAGAAAAAAAAACAAAATTATACTCTGTGACTGCATGGTGTGTGCAACATCGTCCTCGGTGAATGAAGAAATTCAACTATATTTCTTATTACTAACCATCTGCTTATAACGCAGCATCATTTCAGAAGATACAGCTAAAAAATATCTCTATTCTACTGGCAACTGTAACACTATACAAGTTACTTTGGCACCATATGTTCTGTCTGGCTTTCAGGTGTTGATCTTGAGTGGTTCAGTGTCATAGTCAAACATGGGGGTGAGGAGTGCTGAGTCTGAGTGGTTGATGATGTGAGGTGCTTCATTGAACTCATCCAGCTCATCTGAGAGGTCTGCTTCATGTGCAAGGAGAAGATACTGCTCTGATCGCTCGGGCCACAACATGTAGGTCATGAATGAGTGGGCTAGTAAATCAGCTGAGTATGTGAAACCTGTGTGAAATAACAAGAAATAGATAAATAATCAATATAAAGTCACTGAACACTCAAAAGTTTACACATGATGTATTGACGTCTCATGACATCTTTTACTGAGCTCTAACCCATAAAGTCTAACAGCACTCAACTGAGTACTTTCAGAAATACTGCATTCAATTCAAGCATACCCTCTCAAAAATTGGCAAGCAATTTTTCTGTGGTACTTTTCACTGTCTTTGGGAGGTAAGGAGCATGCTGAACAGTAGCAAAATTACTTCAAGTTTCTTACAGTTACACGCCCCTGAACTCACTCATTCTGATTTTGTTTCCATCTCTTTTCTTTTAATGAATGAAAATAGTAAGTATGAAATAATGTACTCTAATATATGGCATGTACAACCCCCTACAAAAACCTTTATTCCCTCACTCTCTAGGTAT